CCTTATGCAGACAACTCTGTACCAAGCAGTCCCTCGTTTCCGGCCACCGTGATGACGGTGTGCCCATGTCATACCTGGCATTGCAGATATGCAAAGAAAGAGACTATTCTAGCTCCCAAAGAGAATTTCATTTGTGGATCCCCACAGCTAATGTGAACCCCATTTGTGGTCCCTTCCGAGCTTCACATAGGCTCACAAGAGCAATCACAAGATGCTCACTTAAAATTGATCATGAAAATAGAAGAGAGACTGCTCAGCAGTTAAGACCAATTCTTGCATTACAGAGGACCTGAGCTCAATTCTAAGTATCCACATGGTGGCTCACAGCCACTCATAACTCTAGTTCCAGGAGAGCTGAAACCCACTTCTGACTTCCAAAAACACCAGTCGTGCAGGTGGTGAACATACATACATACATACATGCAGGCAAAACACTTATACACAGTTTTAAAAAAGAAATTAAATTTAATTTTGAAAAAAGTAATAGTGCAGATACTGCCTTTATACTGAAGATGCTGATTGTTCTCTTTTTAAATCATAAGCACCATCATAGCGACAATAAATATTGTACTGTAAACCTTAAAAATGATGGAATAGTACATTAAAGGCATGAAAAGATACCCCATTCATGGTAATAAGAGCACATATACATACATTTTGTGTGTGTGTGTTTGTGTTTGTGTGTGTGTGTTTGTGTGTGTGTGTAAAAAAAAGTGCATTTTTATTTTTGAAGTCCTGGTGAAATGTTCTGGAGCCAGGAGCATGGACACTCCCAGGCATTTGTTATTAATGCAAATTCTTAGGCCTCACCCAGCCCTACTAACCCAGAGCACTGGGTAGGATCAGTACCTGCGAGCATGGCCTCCACGTGGTTCTGATGGGCCTTCTAGAAGACTGGATTCTCTAAGCTGTGCCCTGCTTTACTTTGCTACTGTACATAGTATCCTTCTATCCAGTATCAACCTATAATACCACTACAACTGGTATAACTTTCCAGTAAATCAACTGCTTCTGTTTTAGATAAAGATTTTGATGTCATGGCTTCTGGCTACATTGTATTCACACATGCTTTTCATTCACCAAAACTGTGAGATTAAAGCTGAGAAATTATGTGTCTCCCCCTGCCCCAAATGCTCTAACTATATGCAAAAAAAAAAAAAAAAAAAAAAAAAAAATCCTCTCAGTGCAAAGACCCGTGCAACAACCCACGGCTTTTCATACAGTAGGCACACGGGCTCCTTGGGTATCTTATTAAGATGCACACCTGGCCTGAGGCCCAGTTCCTGCATTTCTGGCCAGCTCTAGGCTGTCCCTGTTGCTCTGTGGCTCATGCTTTTGAAAATTCAGTCGCTCCAATATTGTGCATGGCTATCGGGGAGGTCAAGTCATGAGGATTTCCAGTGTAACACTCTCCTTCAAACACTGTTTAGATTTTTATTAAACAAAGAACTATATTCAGAAAAAAAAGGAAAGAATCTTGAAATCTTTCTCTAGAATCTGCCTTATTCTTTCTACATCTCTCTCTACATGCAGAGCAAGCCTTTAAAAACATTTCCGAGGACGACTCAAAAAGAAACTCATCTGTTGGCCCTATAACAACTAGTGTTGTCAGGGAAATAAATGTTTAAAAGCCAGTATGAGGTGTAGAGGGCAGGAGGAAAGGATTTATATGGGCTGCCTTTTCCCCCAGTATAATCAGACATCTAATTAGGTGGATTTAAGGAGTTCAGTGATACAGTTTTAGAAACATATACACACAAAATGCTGGCTTCAGTCATGACTAAATCCAAGCTTTCAAATAACATTCTCAAAAGTTGGTCTCATCCCATGTTCTGATTGGGCTTTTTTGGCCAACTTGATACCAACTAGAATCATCTGGGAAGAGAAATTTCAATTGCGGAAATGCCTCTATTCAGGTTACTCTGTAGGGCATTTTTTTTGATTAATGGTTGTCTGTGGTGTTAACCCCACCAGGTGAGAATAAAACCACTACCACAATTTTTTTGAGCCAAATTTGAAGCCAGCTGTATTAAATACTGACCAGGACAATGGTCACCGGCCTGGTGTATACCCAGGATTTCAAGAGTATGACATCAAATTACATAAGTCAGAGACTTAAAAAGGCAAAACCCACAAGGCTAAGTACTTCCTGCCTCTGCCCAATCAGGGGCAGGCATACATCCTGACGTACTTCCTGCCTAGGTACCCCACGCCTATGTGTGACGAAGCACATCCTACGTGGTTGAGGCAACCAAGCTTCTTTACAGAAGCAAAAACACATGGCTTATAATTTTACACAAACAACAGCCCCCAGCATTCCAGGAAGTTATTTGTCCTTGGGTGAGTAGGTTAGAGGCACTTCTGTTTTATAGGTCTTTTAAGCACAGTAATTTAAACTTAAACTATAATGTCAGCCATGACAGCGAGCAGACACCACAGGGGGCAGTGCCAACCAACCACTGGGCAGGTTGTTTTTTTGGTTACATACGAAAGCAGCCTGAGCAAGCAAGGAGTAGCAAGTCAGTAAGCAGCAGTCCTCCGTGCTCTCTGCTCCAGTTTCTGCCTCCAGGTTCCTGCCTTGGTTTCCCCTCAGCGATAGACTGTGATCCAGAAGCAGAAGATGAAATAAAACTTTTTCTCCCCAAGTTGCTTTCACTCGTGATGTTTATCACAGCATTAGAAAACTAGGACATAGCACTGCCAAGCTCTGGCTTCTTCTTGCAGTGCTTTATTTTCAGTCTCTCTTCCCCAGCCCTGGGCTCTGCCTCTATGATTAACAGTCACTATAGAAAAAAAAAAAAAAAATCATTGTCTCATCAAATGTTCAGAACTCCACCTCTGAATCTGCTGGCCTTGGCCACCTGCATACTTCTAAAGAAGTTTGGGAGTGGTAATAATTTCACCCCCCCCAAAAAAAAAAAATAGAAGAAAGGGCAATGGCCCAATGAAAAAGTTTTAATGCAAGAACAGGGGAAATGAATGCCAAATCGAGAGGTGGTGTGGTTTCTCTGATCGCCAAGCCCACTCTTAACATTGCATTTGTTTGGAAGCCAGATTAAGCGGATTAAAGCGAAGTCGCATAGACCATGACCAGTAGAGCCAAGATTTCCTAATTTTTCCTTTATTGGTTTTTCCTCTCTACTGTTGCCTTCTTGGAATCTATGACTTAATCAGACACGGAGCCTGTGTATTGTTTGCCTTATCTTTGAATGTTGTCTTTAACGATGTATTCCGTCCACCGCACTCAGCTTAAAGAAACTGTAGAAGTTCATCCATCATCTTTGACTCTCCTACAATGACTGCCCACAGTAAGAAAACCACATTCCTTCGGTGCTAGTAATCGGCAGCACTCCTTTGCTCTTTGCAGAAGCAAGTCAAAGCTTGACCAAGCGTGGCTTGCCTATCTACCTGGAGGGACTCCCAAGCCACGGCCCAGCAAGCCCGCGAGTGCAGTGGATGCCCCGTGTGTGGAGAAGCTCGTGTCGGCCCCTCTGTCCTTCTGTGGCATATTCTTACCCTACAGCTTGATTAATAGTCTAGTCTAGTCTAGGTCTTCCCTTACGGGCGGCATGCTGCTCTCTCAACTTTCCCAGGCCCAGCGATATCCCCGTGGACACGTAGAGGCATGCAGGAAAACTCTGGAGGCCTGCCCGAAAAGCATGTCTGCAGTTTGCAAAGGGACAATGTAGCAATTACATGAGTAATGCAGTGGCAAGTCTTCTATGAGAAATCAAAGCTGGGAAAGGAGGGATTTCCTCCTTGGAGGAAGGGTGTTGGGTGAAGCAACTCTTGCCTTGGAAGCCCCTTTTTTCTTCTCTCTCTCCTCCAAATTCAACTCTTATCTCTCCAAACATCTTTTTTTTTTTTTTTTTTTTGAGCCCTTTACTCTGGTACTCAGGAAGCCATGGAGAGGAAAGAGAAGGAACTGACTAGGAGTTTACAGTCCGCTTGCTCATAGCAACTGAAAGTGTTCATGGGTTCTGGTTCCAGGGGAGGGAGCTGAAGAACTCAGCCTGGCATCTAACAGGTAGTGAGCAGTGGCCAGGCTCCCGGTGGCTCCTGGAGCAGGTAGGAAAAAAAAAAAGTGGTTTATTCTTTCATTTTGCTTTGCATGAAGTAGAGCCTGAAGACAAACCGAACGCTAAGTATCAGAGAATGGGCACAGCCAGAGGAGCAAATAGTGTAAGAGCTTTACTTCCCTCCTGGGAAGCACCAGCTAATGAGAAGGTTGATTGTTCGGCTGAGCCTGTCTGCCACACTCGTCCCCTCTGGAGAGCTGTCCACTGTCACAGCCGTGACAGGCAAGCCGGGAAGGAGCCCACATCTTAATAAATCTCGGTGCCTGTGTTTGCTGAACTTTTCTCGTGCGCGAGTTCGTGTGTGTGTGTGTGTGCCCCGTCTGTGGACACACGCACCGTTGGGAGGAACATTCTCGCAACCACAGATGCCAATCTGAGCAACCGCCCCACACAGCCTATGCTCTTGTAAGAACCCAACAATGGCTTCTCCTAAGACACTACCATCTGTTCTTAAAGAGGAATCCCAGGGTCTTCGAAACATTAAGTAGGTGAAGGCTCCATCAGCATCCGCTCCATGCTCAGTCCTCTGGGTCACAGAAGGCATCTACACACTCTGGGTTTTTGTGTCTCTTCATGAGGAATGTGACTTAGTGAAACCAGACAGGAGGCTGTAAAACAGATGCGATGAACTATTGCGGTGTTTGTCATAACCAGATCCCAAGTGCTGTAAAAGTAAAATACGATGTGTGGCTGAGAGAAGGAAGTAGTAAAGGGAATGTGGGGGGAAAACAAAATGGAATTTGTGAGAATGTTTAGGTCAAAGACACACTAAGTAAGTTTTGGAGTCAGCAACCAGACAGTCATCTCTCCAATAAGATATTTAAGAATCTTGTTGCATCACTGCTTTGTAGTGACTGCTCTTGGCCTTTGTATGGGGGGTCGGGGAGACGCCTGGCATACAGGGCTACAAAAACATGCCGAGTGCTCACTTGGGTAGCATGTATGCTAAAATTGGAATGGTGCAGAGCTCAGCACAGCCCCTGCACAAGGATGACATGCAGAGAGACGATCTACTCTCCCTGTCAATGTTAACCAGGGCCTCTGTGTTTCAGACGCCGGGTTAAACCCTCAACTATGTATCCCTAACTATGTATCCCTAACTCCGTACATCAATATGTCTGTATCTCTATCCCACATCTCCTCTTTAGTGACCTTTACCTACCGCTTTTCACTGGGACCAGCAAAAACACAGCAGCAGTTTCCCTAGAGCTGTGGGAAGGCACGTCTGCTTGCACCGACCAGGAAGGAACGGCATCTCCTGAAAATTAACAGCAACTCCCAGGCTTCCCTGCTTGGCTCTACCGTTCTTAAAGCCCAGGTCTTGATGGCCAAGTGATAGTGCCCTGCTATTGGATTTACATACTGACTCTGAGCGCCTCGCTTCCCGGGAGAGAACCCTGCACCTTGTCTGAAAGGAGGGACAAGGCAGGGAAGGTTCCCTGTTCCCCCAGACCCTCTTTCCTTCACAGAATTCTTTTCTGCTGTCTCCTTAGGGTCCTTCTTTCCCACTCTGGGTCATAGCTGAAGGCTTCTGCACTGAAGCAAGCATGACTGGACCTTCCTTTGACGTCGCCCGGGGGCAATCCCTTCCACTGGAGGCTGCAGCAGTTCTGCCACCGACCCAGAAGCAAAGCTGAGAGATATATGACCACGGCCTTGTTCCCAGCACGCACTCTTCCTTCTCACTTCTTCCCTATGGCTCCTTCCCCTCTCGCTTTGCTGTGTCATTCCCTACTGTCACTGGCAGTCCCTTGTCTCTGCCTGTCTCCCAGGTCATGCTGAGCACAGGCTCTGTAGCAGACACCTTTCCCAAGGCTGTAAGACCCTGATGTTGTGCGTGCTTTGCCATTTGCTTGCGAGGTGGGGACTATCAATATCCTACTTTGTGAAAAGGAAAGAAAAAGAAACTTAGCCTAGGACCTGCCTGTGGGCAAGGTCAGGTTGAAGTGGCCTCTGCAGAGCGTCCACCACAACCTGTGATGAAGCGACAGTTGAGCTGAGCCTGGGAGTCGCGCAGAAGATAGCAGAGACCCAGGAGGAGGGGCGGAGGCTCATGGCATCCCAGCATGCTCAGCTCCTTTGTCTGCCACAAAGCCTCAGAAAAGGTCTGCCGGAGGCCACCAGGGAGACCAAAGGATTCGCTCCATAGCGAGTCCCGAGTCCCGTGGTGACTTCTCTTCACACTGCTCTGTCACGCCTGCCTTTGAGGCCTAGCAGCTGACATTTAGCTTGGTCCCTGTTGATGAGGAAGCGCTCTGCTCTGTGCTTGCTATTTAAGGCCCACACAGGTTCTGCAGGCATGGGGATGGGGGTTTTTGCTTACCCGCTGTTGCTGTTTCCAGAGACAGGCTCCAGCCTTCAAAGGTCAGGTTTTTCATGCCTGTTTTCCCCCTTCTTTTGACTTTGAGCTGGCTTGTATATTTAACCCCTTGAAGGCCAAGGAGACTCTGTTCTATCAGCTTCCACTTAGCACGCCTATCAGCTGCTGGAAATTATTTCCATGAAGAGTTCAAGAAGTCCCTTGGCTGCTTAGCCTCTGACTCCGCAGGAGGGGCGCTCTCACATCCTGAACCCCTTCATGCTTTCAATTCAGAGCCAAGTTTCTGGGATGTAGATTTTTGTCTCACAAGGCTAGAGGTCAGGGAAGGGCTGGTGCTAGTCTCGGTATCAAGGCATTGGCTGTTGTTCTCTGGCTGACTTGAGCAGTGCCCAGCCTCTACTTCCTTACATGTCTTAGAAGCTGTTGTTACTGTGAGACGTGGAATGAATTCCTGAAATATAACCCGCTTTGATATTTGGCCTTCACTTTAAATTTCAAAGGGTTTCCTTTGTTGTGGCATTGTTTTTAAAAGAATGAGAGATGGTGAGACCTGATAAGCTAGGGTCAGATGGAAGAGGAGGAGGACCTCCCCTATCAGTGGACTTAGAGAGGGGCATGGGAGGAGATGAGGGAGGGAGGGAGGGTAGGATTGGGAGGGAATGAGGCAGGGGGCTACAGCTGGGATACAAAGTGAATAAACTGTAATTTATTTAAAAAAATAAAAATTTAATAAAAAATGAGAGAACTGGAGATTTGAAATAAGAAAACTTCCGGTCAAACGGAAACTGTAGGTCCTGTTACAGCCAACTCACCTCAAACCAAGCTGATTTCCCGGGGAATGGTGTACTCATGAGAGAATTCAACCTTCTGGATTCTAGTTAACAACAATCTCTTTTGGTTTTTCCAACCTTGGTCTTAGCAGTGTGCCCCCTGTACGTTCTGTGCTTTATCTACATTATTTGTTCATCTGTTCCACATGTATCGATATCTCCTGAGTTCCCTTCCGGGTCCTTCCTGTTTGTCTTGGACTCTGGGTCTTGGGTTCTCTTTAGAGCATTTGGCCATACCCATGCATCAAACACACTTTATCTTCTTTATAGCCCAGTCGCACTGACAGGTTTCCAAAGATTTCAGTGTGCTTCTACTTAGAGTAATAATCCACATTTTGATACAGTCAAAGCCCAACCGTACCTTCAATAATTTGCTTAAAATTTTTCTCATCCAAATACCCATTTTGTCCCTCAAAGTCTAACTCCCACCAAATACTGCAACTGAACAAGTTAGCTGGGTTCTTTGCTCATCCAAATGGCCTTTGACACTCATATTTCCACAGACATTCTAGTCACGGCTACTTGAATATTCTCTAAGTATAGTGCAGTGTCCACTGTGGCTTCTCTTTCCCTTTTGAGGTCTCAAAAGAGTCACTTATAAAGATCCATTTCAGGGAAAATACAAACATAAGCCTAACAAGAGGGTGTGCTCTCCAGGGGAAATCACATGGTCTCAGGCTCTGCTATAGTGAGCTGGGTTTGTGTAAATAAATATCTGGGAAGCTGACAGCAGGAGGCTTTTCTTCCTATCCCTCATCCTTCTGAGAACAGACACCAAGTCAGTTCCTAGCAGCAATTCCTCCTGTCAGATGATAAGACCTGACACCATTGTCAATGCCTACTGGAGCTGAGAAAGTGGAGAAAGGTCTGGGAGAGGCTGAGAACTAAAGAGAAAGTAATGATGAACAAATGAGGAATTAGGGCAAGGAGTAATGTGTTTAATGGATAAAGTGGCCTCGTTGCCTAGCATCTAAGACATAATCATTGATGTATTGGTTTATGTGGTAGCTAGCCCCAAGATGGCCACTGAGGGTGTCTACCTCCTGATATTAGCACTCGTTGTCTGCTTCCTCATTCTACCTTTGGTCTATAGCTAGAAGCACAGAGAAGTGACAATGTGCTTGTCTGACATCAAGTTGTAAGGCAGCGTTACAGCTTCCATCTCAGCCATAGGCTCCCTCTCTGAGGTCTCCCCTCCTAAGGGACACCAGCTGTCATGATGTGAGAGAAAATATGGACAACAAGGTGGTGAAAGCACCTCAACTGGTGTAGGATCCCAAAGCATACCTTCATCAGATAGCCAGTGCCACCAGCCATGCCCATGCCCTGCAAGACTTCTGTGAACAAATGGCATCAGTGAAATGTTGCTATAGGGCAAGCACCTTCAACAGCAAGGGCCTAAGCCAACTTCAGTTTATTATTTCCTGTGGTCCGTTGTGTTAACTAACCCACTCACTATTCCTCCCGCTGGTTTGTCTTCTGTAAATTCGTGTGTTCTGTCAGCCACAGCCTGCAGGGATCAGGGCTCCAGGGATACCTGAGCTGTCGTTGTTGTCAGTTGGACAAGAACAGGAACTACAGAACTTCCTGCAGTCTGGGCCTGGATGCTGGATATTACCTTTGCCATGTATTCTATGGAACAAAATGAGTGAAGAGATCCACCTAGATTTGAAGGATGAAGACTCCTTTTGCTCTTGTTGTTTTGAGCAAGGTCCTGCTCATAGATTAGCCATAGATTATCGTGACAGATGCTGCCCACCTCAGACTGTCCTCAAAATTCTGGCACTCCTCCTGCCTCAGGATTCCACATGCAGGGATTACGTGTGTGTACCACCACACCTGGATAAAATCCATTTCTTTTCTCAAATGTATTTTTCTTAATTTTTCGAGCATTTCATCCAATGTACTTTGATTATATTTATTTTAACTCCTCCCCCTAACTCTCCACCTCTCTATTGACCCAACTTCATGCCCTTTTTGTTTTTAACAAAAGCCATGGGACCCAATTTATGCTGGCCATATACCCCTAGGTGTAGAACCATCCACTGGAGTGTAACGAACCTACCAGGAGCACGCCCTCAAAAAAAACTGCTTCTTCCTCCCTCAGAAGCCACCAACTGTCCATAGCCTCTCAGTTAGGGGTGAAAAAAGTCCATTTCTTAAGAACATCTTCAAGTAATTTGTCCTCACCTTGAATCCACGAAGTCTACCTTTTGATAGTATATATGCATTCCTCCCGTGTGCAAAACATGTTCATCTTCCCAAGACCCTTGAACTCTCTTTGGCTGATCACGTGAGGTCCAAAGTCAGCTATCTTACGTTCTGCATCCAGTGCAGACATACTAAAGGTATCTTGTGTCTTAATAGTTCTCTTCACTCAGAGGGCAAGTGTCTTTGTTAAGGGTTCTATTGCTGAGAATAGACGCCATGACCATGGCAACTCTTATGAAGGAAAACGTTTAATTGGGGCCGGTTGACAGTTTCAGAGGTTCAGTCCCTTGTCATTGTAGTGGGAAGCATGATGGCACTCAGGCAGAATATGGCTCTGGAGAAGGATCTGACTGTGTTCTAAGTCTGCATGTGTGGGCAGCAAGAAGAGAGTCAGACACTGGGCCTGGCCTAAGCATCTGAGGCCTCAAAGCCCAACCCCCAGTGACACACTTCCCCCAGCAAAGCCACACCTATTCCAACATGGGCACACCTCCCAATAGTGCCACTCCCCCATGAGCCTAAGGGGACCATTTTCATTCAAACAACCACAGGGCGTCTGCCTTCCAACATAGCCACTCTAAGCCCGTTGCTTTCGTTTAAATTCTGCTTCCAAATTAAGCCATATGCCTGACATACAATGAAACACAGGCAAGCTTCCTGAATA